GAACCAAAAGACAAAAGGATGGAAAACAGGAGAGAAAGGAAATTAGGGGGGTCAGTTCAAGATGTCTGGTGAGTGTCAGAGAAGAGAGAAAATAGAAGGAGAGGAAATGACCAAATAATTAATACAAAAAAGTTATCCAGGCATGACAGATATGTTTGTCTTTCCCAATACCAATGCATATCATTATGAAATTTTGTACTATACATAAAGATTCTAAAACTGTACAAGAAAGTAGGTCATACACAGGGATTAAGAATGAGAATGATAACATAAGGTTTCAGACTTCTCATTGGCAACACTGTAACGTAGAAGACAACAGAACCATGCCTTCAGATGTTGGGAAAAATTTTATTTCAAAAAAATTTGCCAAGTATTGGTAGAGTAAAGACATCTTCAGACGTACAGCTTCCCAAAAAATTTACCATCCTATGCCTCCCTTATCAAGAAGTAATAGAATGTTTGCTCTACAAGACAAGGGAGTAAACCAAGAACGGAAACTATGGGACCTGGGAAACAGTGACAGAAGTGAAAAAGGGTATCCTCAGAGATAACCTAATTTGTATGCCTGACAGAGATAAGTAGGTCAAAATTGTAATGGAAGGATGGATGTCTCCACAAAACTGAAACTGAGAGAATACCTGAAGTAGGCAATTTCCTTTAGATGGAGTTATTGGGTACAGACAAGAAATGATTGACATTGCTAGTACACTGTTTTAAAAGCATGATGTTCTTGTCATTTATTATTATTAGGATAGAGAATGTGGGTTATTCTCCCATATCTTCTCTAAGATTCTATTTGTCTTCTAAAATACAGTATGTTATCAATAAAAAATATTTGTTAGATTTAGTAATAAGCATCTATTATACACACTATAAATATTTAGAAACTACTCTGTTATTATAGTTATGCACCACATAACAATGTTTTGGTCAATGATAGACCACATATAAGATGGTGGCCCCATAAGATTATAATGGTGGTAAAAATTCCTATCATCTGCTAGCATCATAGCCATCATATTGTCATAGCACAATGTGTTATTCACATGTTTGTTGGTAATACTGGTATAAACAAACCTACTGCACTATCAGCTATAAAAAGGTGTAGCACAGGCCGGGCATGGTGGCTCACGCCTGTAATCCTAGCACTTTGGGAGGCTGAGGCGGGTGGATCACGAGGTCAGGAGTTCAAGTCCAGCCTGACTGACATGATGAAACCCCATCTCTACTAAAAATACAAAAGTTAGCTGGGCGTGGTGGTAGGCGCCTGTAATCCCAGCTACTCAGGAGGCTGAGCCAGGAGAATTGCTTAAGCTCAGGAGGCAGAGGTTGCAATGAGCTGAGATCACACCACTGCATTCCAGCCTGGGTGACAGAGTGACACTTGGTCTGAAAAAAAAAAAAAAAAAAAAAGTGTAGCACATACAATTATATATAGCACATAGCACATAATACTTGATAATAATGACTGTTACTGGTTTATGTATTTATTATACTATACTTCTTATCATTATTTTAGTTTACACCTTCTGTTTATTAAAAAAGTTGGCAGAACATGATGGCTCACGCCCAGTAATCCCAACACTTTGGGAGGCCGAAGCAGGGGATCACGAGGTCAGGAGTTTGAGACCAGCCTGACCAACATGGTGAAACCCCATCTCTACTAAAAATACAAAAATTAGCCAGGTATGGTGGTGCATTCATGTAATCCTAGCTACTCAGGAGGCTGAGGCAGGAGAATCACTTAAACCTGGGAGGCGGAGGTTACAGTGAGCCAAGATTGCACTCCAGCCTGGGCCACAGAGCAAGACTCCATCTCAAAAACAAAAACAAAAATGTTAACTGTGAAACGGCCTCAGGCAGGTTCTTCAGGAAGTATTCCAGAAAAGGTAGTATTATCATAGGAGATGACAGTTCTATGGGTATGATTGCCCCTGAAGACTTTCCAGAGGGAAAACATGTAGAGGAGGAAGATAGTAAGTAATACTGATAATCCTGACCCTGTGTAGGCCTAGGCTAATGTGTGTTTGTGTATTAGTTTTTTTAAAATAATATTTACAGTGGCTTTATTAATAATCATTAAAAACTAGAAACAGCACAAATGTCCAACCCAGAGATGAATGTATAAACAAACTATGGTGCATCAATACAACAGACTATGCAGCAGTAAAAGGGAACCAGCTACTGATCACACAACAAAATGGATTAATCTCAAATGCATTTTGCTAAGTAAAGAAGTCAAACTCAAAAGGCTACATACAGTGTTGTGCTGTGATTCCTTTTACAGGACATTCTCCAAAAGCCACAGTTAGAGAGACCGAGAACAGATTATTGATGGTCAGTGAAGACTAAGGGTACTGCAAAGTGGCCCAAGGGAACTTTTGGGAGTAACAAAACTGCTCTCTGTATCTCCTGGGAGTTACATGGCCATATGTATTTGTCAAAGTGAACAATTGAGGAGGGAAATGGGAGTTTCTATTTAATGGATACAGAATTTCTATTTGAGATGATGAAAAAGTTCTGAAAATGGATAGTGGTGATAGTTGCACAACAGTTTGAATATACTCAGTGCCACTGAAACGTACATCTAAAAATGGTTAAATGGTAAATTTTATGTTACATATATGTATTTTTAACTTTTATTTTAGGTTCAGGGTTACATGCGCAGGTTTGTTATATAGGTAAATTGAGTGTTACAGGGTTTGGTGTACAGATTATTTCGTCACCCAGATAATAAGTATAGTACCTGACTGGTAATGTTTCAGTCTCACTCCACCCTCAAGTAGGTCCTGGTGTCCATTGTTCCCTTCTTTGTGTTTATATGTGCTTAATATTTAGCTCCCACTTATAAGTTGGAACATGTGGTATTTGATTTTCTGTTCCTGTGTTAGTTTTCTTAGGATAATGGCCTCCAGCTCCATCCATGTTGCTGCAAGGGACATGATCTAATCCTTTTTTATGGCTGTGTCATATTCCATGGTGTATATGTGCCACATTTTCTTTTTCTAGTCTACATGGCTGAGCATTTAGGTTCATTCCATGTCTTTGCTATTGTGAATAGTGCTGTGATGATGTACCTTAGTTTTTGACCAAAAAGTTTAAAAAGGAAGAATTTAAAAATAGAAAGCTTATAGAATAAGGATATAAAGAAAGAAAACATTTTTGTACAGCTGTACAATCTGTGTAATTTAAGCTAAGTGTTATTACAAGAGTCAAAAAGTTAAAAAAATGAATTTATAAAGTCAACTAAGTTTGATTTATTATTGAAGAAAGAAAAAATTAAAAGGAAAATTTAGTGTGCCTAAGTATACAGCATTTGTAAAGTCTATGTTAGTGAATAATAATGTCCTAGGCCTTCACATTCACTGACCACTCCCTCACTGACTCACCCAGAGCAACGTTCATGGTAAGTGCCTTATATAGTTACATGTATACCATTTTTAATCTTTTATACCTCATTTTTACTGTACCTTTTCTATGTTTAGATATCTTTAGTTATAAAAATACTATTGTGCTACAATTACCTATACTAGTCAGTGCAGAAAGATGCTGTACAGGTTTACAGCATAGGAACAATAGGCTATATCATATAGCCTACATGTATAGTAGGCTATACCATCTAGGTTTGTGTAAGTATACTCTGTGATGTTCATACAGTGACAAAATCACCTAATGATGGAATTCTCAGAACATATCTCTGTCCTTAAGCAACGCATGACTGTATATACCTATAAATTAAGGAACTGTTACTTTTATAAAAATATTTATGTTATCCTGAAATAGAGGCAATCAAAATAGGTATTCATTGGGTGCTCTTAAAATGCATAGCTTCTTATAAGCAAGAGGAGACTCTCCATGTTAAAACTGTAAAATGCTTATTAGATATGTTGCCATGATTTTACATAATTTATCTTTGCATATTGATATCTTAGATGTAATTGAGAACTCTCTAAATAGATGGAGTACTGTGAATAATATGGAATTCAAACGAGATGGATTTATATATGTAATATGGAGAGTAAGAAAGACTTTTTTTTTTAAAAAAAAAGGCAGATGACAGAACAGTATGTATGATATGGTCTCATCTGTATTTAAATATATATATATATTTTTTTTTTACATACTTTTATGCTTATATAGACAATTTCTGGAAAGATATACAAGAAACTGCCAAGGTGGTTACTTGTGGGGAGGAAAACTGAGAGGATAACTTTACCTTTTTCTTTTAATATCCTTCTGTGTGGCTTGACATTTTTAACCTGAATGTACATAGCTTTATAAACAAAGATTACAGATGTATTAGGCATGTAGATAGGTGTTCTATCACTATCTTTTTGTAAAAATTTACTTGGGTTATCAGCAGACATTGGAGAAACCTAATAATATTGATGACACTGATTTAATAGCTTTAAAAACCTAGTCTTAGAAAACACGTGGTAGTATTTTTACTCTATAAGTTTAGTTTTTGGGAGGGAGAGTGTGGTGGTGATTCTGTTAGTTCAATGAAGTAATTAAGTTAATATGGTAAATATTTAAGTTATGCTTAAAAAGTGTTAATTTGAAATTAAAATTAAAATTGTATTTAAGAGTTTTTCTAGCCAGTTAATTTCTAAAATAAACAGATAATAGAAAAAATGTTCTGTGGTAGTTAAATTTCTTTAGTTGAGTTAGGTTGGATTGTGCTACATTTCATACTTTTCAGTGCTGTACTTTATATTACTTTTTCAGAACATTAAAACTTATGCAGTGAAACTGAATAATGGCAATGTTTTTATACCCTTTTATAGCCATTTCTTTATCATAACCTCCCCCTATTCTCTGTTAGCTAAACTATAAGCACCTTTCCATTAATTTATGAAAATTATAGTTGAGATAGCACATTATCACTGATCTGTATGGCACTTTCAGCATGTTAGAAGCAAAGTTCCAAGCAACATAAAACACATCAAAATTCATTAATGTGGTATTGATTATTTTTTGGATAATTAATTTTATTGCAGACCCTTGAAAGAGATAATGAGCTGCAAAGGGAGAAGGTAAAAGAAAATGAAGAAAAGTTTCTTAATCTTCAAAATGAGCATGAAAAAGCACTAGGAACTTGGAAAAGACATGTAAGCTTATTCAATAGTAAAATATTTTAAATAGTTTTAGACATGTAAAATAACTGTAAATGCTAAGAAAATACTGCACAAATATTAGAGGACTAAAATCAGACACATTTTTTTTTTGGTCTCATATTTCCAAAAAGGTGAATGCTTTTTAAAAGCTAAATTTAATGAAATTCCCTGTAATGCTTTTATGCATGGAAGACCACACAAATACATGTTTGTGTATATATGCATATGTGTTTGTGTGTATGTGTGTGTGTATGTATGTATTTGAGCTCCTATATATGACAAAGAAAAATTAATTTACTTTTTAATAAAACCATTGCATAGTATTTTAGTAAATGAATAAAATAATTATATTATTATTAACTGATCTGTTTTGCTTTCTTCAGCAGTTTTGTTGAGATATATTAGAGCCATGTTTAGAACATGTATGCAGTAGTTGAGTTCTATAGTATTAGCATTTTATCATATTAATAACATAAGAGTTGATATATTTTAAACATGGCTATTTCCTTAAATCACATTTGTTTATTTTATAATAAATTTTAATTCAGCAAAGTAGATAAAATAATAGTGTAAAATGATATAAATTGAAGTTGTGAAATATAAAGGTTTATGTTAGACATTGGTGGACCCCAAAATTGATTATTCTATGTTAATATCAATTTGCATTGCATTTTAAATTCTTTTTAAATAAATAACAGAGTAAAAAGTCACTATGAGTTTATGAAGCTTTATTTTGGGAATGTATCATTATGTTTTAGACTATTATGTTAATTATATAATATAGTAATGGATATCTAAATACCAGCTTGATAATACTTTCTGTAGCTTATTTTGTTTGATTTAAATTATTATATAAGTAACTCTTGATTTGATTCATTTGGAACTAGCATGTTTTCTTAATTTATATTTTGGCGATATCAAGTCTTCACTGATATTTTGATAAGGTTTACTTAAATCTAAGAAAAATAGTTTGTATTTAATTGTAGAATACTAAAAACTTCTTATTTTCTATACTAGTATAATTTATCATTAAGCAACAAGCATAGTAATGTTCATTTTAGCATCAGTTAATCTACATTTTATCCCTGTACCTTCTTTTCATCCCCAGTGTTTAAAACCCTATGGAAATAGTGCCGTCAGGATAAGGAAAACTGTTTAAGTGAAAAGGAAACATAAACTTAAATATGCCAAACATGCAAAAAAACCCCAAAAAGATCAATTTAGCTAAGAAAATTAAACATTCGTTTTCTCTGAGACTACAACTATGCCCCTCTCTCAAGAAAAAAACAAAAGCTATTATGAAAAATAAGCAGTTTCATTGGTGAGGTCTCAGTCTATAAATGTGGATAAAGTTGGTTTTATCTTAGAATTTTTAAGTTCTGCAATAATTTTGCTTCCATTATGCTTTGATAATAAACAGAATATAGATAAGAAAAAGCTGCCTTCATTCTATAAGAGTTTTATTCAGTAGGATATCACATTTACTTTTTAATTATATTTCTATATGTAAGTTTTTCATCATTCTTGAGTGAAGGACAATAGTAGTGTGGCTACTGAGATTGGGTCAAGATGGGTTAAAAAAACAAAGATACTGATAAAAATAAATTGGAATCATATAAACTGCTGTTTCATATTTGATCATTCAAAAAATAAACAGTGAAAGAAAATACTATGCTAATAAAACTTCTTGCATATTATTAGATAATATATTTAAAATTCATCGAAATATTAAAAATAATAAGATTTATTAGGATAAAGGTCAAATTTGAAGTTATAGGTGAAATAAGATCATTTTAAAAATAGGCTGGGCACAGTGGCTCATGCCTGTAATCCCAGCACTTACTTTGGGAGGCCGAGGCACGCAGATCACGAGGTCAGGAGATCGAGACCATCCTGGCCAATATGGTGAAACCCTGTCTCTATTAAGATACAAAAAATTAGCCAGGTGTGGTGGTGCATGCCTGTAGTCCCAGCTACTCTGGAGGCTGAGGCAGGAAAATCCTTGAACCTAAGTGGCGGAGGTTGCAGTGAGCCAAGATCACACCACTGCACTCCAGCCTGGGCGATGGAGCGAGACTCTCTCATTAAAAAAAAAAAAAAAAAGGCTGGCCACAGTGGCTCACACCTGTTATCTCAGCACTTTGGGAGGTCAAGGCAGGCAGATCACCTGAGGTCTGGAGTTCAAGACCAGCCTGATCAACATGGAGAAACCTCATCTCTACTAAAAATAAAAAATTAGCTGGGTGTGGTGGTGCATGCCTATAATCCCAGCTACTCGGGAGGCTGAGGCAGGGAATCGCTTGAAACCAGGAGGTGGAGATTGCAGTGAGCCAAGATCGTGCTATTGCACTTAAGCCTGGGCAACAAGAGTAAAACTTCATCTCAAAAAAAAAAAAAACGTGAGAGAGAGAAAGGAACTGGGTCAAGGAAGAAAAATATTAGGAATGAGAGTAGAATCTATTTGTAGGCTGACAAGAAGATGCTGAGAGACTGAGAATAGGCAGAAGAAAAGAGAAAATTCCTAGAATTAGGACTAAGGGAGATAGGAGAGGAAGGGATAAAGAACACCTGGAGAGTTAAGCCTTGGAAAAGAAACACCTTGCAGAGATAGATTTAAAGATGGTTAAAAATAGGTGAAATGAACAAAGTAACATGAGTTTTCATCTGCTGGCCTCTATATAGGGCTTTATAGAGAATATTAATTAGAAAAATATTAGGAATAGTAATTACAGTATTTACAATAAGGAATGTTACAAGTGGTTGTGGGATTTGTGGTAGGAATTTTAAAGTTGTTCAAGAGAAACTTTTATAAAAAGCTTTTAAACTTTTATAAAACCCCAAATATGCCTTCCCATGACAAAAGGATATTTTTCTCCTCAGTGGAACATACCTTGTCTCATATTTGAGACTTCTGTGAGAGTACTCCTGTCCCCCAAAATAGAGATTATTAAATTTTATAGGCAGTGAAAGTCTAATTTATAGATGTAAATATCAGGCTGACATGTCAGTTTCGATGGTACCACTTAGTGCTTAGTACTCATGTAGTGGAATTCAAATCTGTATATGCAGTTTGCAACAAGAAAATTAAACTTTGAGAAAACAATGAAAGTATAGTGTTTGTATAATATCAAATTCATAAATTCTTATTTATGAATTTAAGTTTTTTGTTTTTTATGAATTTAAATAATTTTTTTTTATGAGACAAGAGGTGGTTTAATATTGTCATTAAGGACACAGCCTTTAGATTTAGCTTTGGAATTAAATCCTCACTGCCACTTTATCTCGGCTTGATCTTGGACAAGTTACTTAGTTTCTCTGAGCCTCACATTTCCTACCTGTAAATTGGACATAATAATACCTTATAGGGTTTTGATAAGTATGCAATTATGCTTATTAACCAATCAGCCCAATTCAGTAAAGGGTAGCTCTTAGTATTAGTAATTACTTTGTGATTGTTTTTATTCTTTGACTATTTCCTGAAACTTTTGTTAATGAAGTATTTTCAGATAAAACGTATTTATATACTTGATATACTTGTTTATTCTGGTTACATTTTATAATAGGTTGAAGAACTTAATGGAGAAATTACTAAGATTAAAAATGACTTATCATCCCTTAAAGAAACTCATACTAAGTTACAAGAAAATTGTAACAAATGCAATCAGAAAACCTTTGAGGAAGACAAGAAGTTTGAGGTAAAATTTAAGTATGTTGTGGGGTACATCAAAGAAATTAAGACTGTCACTGTAATTTTTTTCCCTATTTTATACTTTAAATTTCTCAACTTAAAAAAAATGAGTATATGCATGTGGTCTCTAATACATTTTTAGTTAATTTCTGTATACAGTATGACATAAGGATTGAAGGTCATTTTCATATGTGAATTTTGAATTGTTCCAGCACAAATATTTGTCAAAAATACTATTTTCTCTCCCATTGTACTTTAGTACTTTCTTTGAAAATCACTTGATCAAATATATGAGTCTTTTTCTGAACTCTTTATTATGATCCATTGATTATATGTCTTATAGCCAATATAACACTGTCTTTATTAATGTAGCTTGTTAAGAAGCTATAAAATATAGCTTAATTCCTTCAATATTGTTCTTTTTTCAAAAAAGCTTTTTGCTATTCTAAGTCCTGTATTTTCTTATCACTTTTAGAATCAGTGTCTCGGTTTCTATTTTAAAAGTCTGTGGGATTTTGATTGACATTCAGTCTTCCAATTGATGAACATGGTATAGCTTCCATTTCTTTGGATATTTTTAAATCTCTCTCAGAAATGTTTTGTAGAGTTTATCATACAGGTCTTGGAAATTTTATATTAAATTTATCCCTGAATATTTTGTGTCTTGGGATCCTAATGTAAACAGTATTTAAAATTTTTATTTTTGTAATTGTTCATTGCTTACATATAGAAGTATATTTTTTTGAGACAAGGCCTTACTGTGTTGTCCAGGCTGTACATGAACTTCTGGGCTCAAGTGATCCTCCCACTTCAGCTTCCTGGGTAGCTGGGATTACAGGGATGGACCACCATGTCCAGTTTATAAGTACAATTGGTTTTTGTATATTGACCTCACTTTAAAATTAATTTATTGTTATAGTAGTTGTTTTCATTGAACTTTGGGGGTTTCTATAATAGATTATCGTGTTGTTTGCAAGTTTAAGACAGTTTTACTTCTTTCTTTCTAAAACTCTGTATGCTTTTTTCATCCCCTCAATTTATGCACTAGCTAGGACCCTCTAATCTATGTTGAATAACAATTGTGAGAGTGGGCATGCTTGCCTTGCTTCTCATCTTAAATGGAGACTATTTAGTCTTTCACCATTTCTTATATGTTTTCATTTATACTCTTTATCAGTTTCAGAAAGTTTCCTTTTACACCTGGTTTGCTGAGCTTTTATCACAAATGAGTTTTTATCATGAATGGTCATTAAATTTTGTCAGATGCTTTTTCTGTATCTATTAAGATGATCGGTTTTTTCTTTATTCTTTTCATATTAATTATATTAATTGATTTCCAGATGTTGAAATAACCTTGCATTCCTGGGGTAAACTTGAGTTGGTCATAATATATTTTCCTTTTTATATGTGGCTAGATTTAAATTGCTAGTGCTTTGTTAAGGATTTTGCATTGATGAGGAATGTGGATCTGTAAGTTTTGTTTATTTTTTCTTTACAATCTTTGAACTGGTTTTTGTGTCAAGTAATACTGGTAAAATAAACTAATATGGAATATATTCCTTTCAATGTATAGGGTTGGTATAATTTCTTTATTGAATGTTAGGTCGAATTCACCAGTGGAGCTATGTGGACTTTCTTGGTTCGAATATTTTAAATAACAAATTCGGTATTATTTACAGGGCTATTCAGATTCTCACTTATTATATTGGTGTGCAGGAAAGAGTTAATATAGCAGCCCTGTGAATGGTGTACTTAGAAAGACCTGCTAGTAAGGTTGGCCCCTGGCTGATGCCTAAAAACTTGAATTTTGGGAGGGTTCTCACCATTTCCTGATAAGAGTGGCTCACTGTATTTAAACTGCTGGTATTCTGAACAACTGGTTTCTTTCTGGGATGCTAGAACTTTGGCACATGCTAGGTAGCGGGTACCTGTATGAACAGCACCCCCCCCCCCACCAAAAATTTGGGCATTGAGTCTCTAATGAGCTTCCCTGGTAGACAACAATTTCACATATGTTGTCGCAATTCAGTGCTGTAGGAGTTAAGCTTGTCCTATGTGACTCTACTAGAAGATGAAGTCTGGTTCCTCCGGATTGCAACTCATGTGCCTTTTCCTTTACCTATTTTTCTTTGTATTCTTTTCTGTATAATACATCTTAGCCATGTGTATGGTTATATATTGATTCCTATGTGTCCTCCTAATGAATCTGATTTTGGTTGTTGTGGAACCACCAAAACAGTCTGGGTAATTTTTATCTTTCAAAGAGCTTGTCGTTTTCATAAGATGTGAAATTTAATGGCTAGGGTTGCTCATAATATTATCTTATTATTATATTCCTCTAGGATCATAGTGATGTCCCTCTTGTCATTCTTAATATTAGTAACCTGTGTCTTCTCTCTCTTGCTGTCTTTTTTTCTTGATCATTTTAGTTGGTATTGGTAACTTGTATCTTCTCTCTCTCTCTCTCACTCTTTTTTTCTTGATCATTTTAGTTAGAGGTTTTCAGTTTCATTGATCTTTTCAAAGAACCAGGTTTTGGGGTGAGTGTGGTGGTTCACACCTGTAATCTCACGACTTTGGGAGGCTGAGGTGGGTAAATCACCTGAGGTCAAGAATTTGAGACCAGCCTGTCCAACATGATGAAACCCCATCTCTACTAAAAATACAAAAATTAGCCAGGCATGGTGGTATGTACCTGTAGCCCCAGCTACTCAGGAGGCTGGGTGGGGAGAATTGATTGAACCTGGGAGGTGGAGGTTACAGTGAACCGAGATGGTGCCACTGCACTCCAGCCTGGGCGACAGAGCGAGATTCCATCTCAGATACCATCTCTACTTAAAATATAAAATTAGCTGAACATGGTGGCATATACTTGTAATCTCAGCTACCCAGGAGGCTGAGGCAGGAGAATCACTTGAACCCGGGAGGTGGAGGTTGCAGTGAGCCGAGATCATGCCATTGCACTCCAGCCTGGGCAACAAGAGCAAAACTCTGTCTCAAAAAAAAAGAAACAAAGTAAAGAAAAACAAAACAACAGCAGCAGCAAACCAGATTCGGGTTTCATTCATTTATCTTCCATGTTTATTTATTTGCTATTTTATTGATTTTTACTATTAACTTTCTTATTCCCTTTACTCTGCTTACTTTGGATTTAATTTGGTTTTCTTTAATTTGCCTTTTTTCTTTTCTAAGTTAACCACTTAAAGCTATAACATTTTCTCTGAGCACTGCTTTAGTTGCATCCCACAAATTATGATACGTAATTTTTTCATTTTCGTTCAGTTCAAACACAACTCTCTCTCTCTCTCTCTCTCTCTCTCTATATATATATATATATATATATATATATATAAAGTATACATAACATACACATGCACACGTATAAACATGAAGCAAAAACCGACAGAACTGAAAAGAGAAAAATAAATTCACAGTTACAATTAAAGATTTCAACATTCTTATCTCACTAATTGATAGAACAGGTACACACGCACACACACACACACACACACACACACACACACACACGCAATCTGTAATGATAGAGAAGACTTGGACAATACCAACCAACCAACTTGACCCAATTGACATTTATAAAACATTCCACTAATCAGCTGGGTGCAGTGGGTGACACCTGTAATCCCTTTGGGAGGGTTGCACTTTGGGAGGCTGAGGCAGGTGGATCACCTGTGAACTGGAGTTCAAGACCACCCTGGGCAACTAAAATAGAAAAAATTAGCCAGGCATGGTGGCACATGCCTGTAGTCCCAGCTACTCAGGAGGCTGAGACAGGAGAATTGCTTGAACCTCTGAGGCAGAGGTTGCAGTGAGCCAAGATGGCACCGCTGCACTCCAGCTTGGGCTGCAGAGTGAGACTCTGTCTCAAACAAAACAACAACAAAAAATCATTCCACCCACCAACAGCAGAACACACATTCTTTTCAACGGCACATGAAATATTCACCAAGATAGACAATACACTTGGCCAAAAAATAAGTCTTAGTATATTTAAAAGGATTAAAGTCTTACCTGGAATGTGCCCTGACCACAACCAAATTAAAATTTCCAAATATCTTCCTATTAATGATTTCACATTTAATTTGGCTGTGGTAAGGGAACATTCTAGGTAAGACTTTAATCCTTTTAAATGCACTAAAACTTATTTTTTGGCCAAGTATATTGTCTATCTTGGTGAATATTTCATGTGCCGTTGAAAAGAATGTGTGTTCTGCTGTTGGTTGGTGGAATGTTTTATAAATGTCAATTAGGTCAAGTTGGTTGGTTGGTATTGTCCAAGTCTTCTCTATCCTTATAGATTGTGTGTGTGTACTTGTTCTATCAATTAGTGAGAGAAGAATATTGAAATCTTTAATTATAACTGTGAACTTACCTTTCTTTTCTCAGTTCTGTCACGTTTTGCTTCATTTTGCTTATATACATCATATACCTGTTATAAGGTATATGATTTATGATTGTTATGACACATTATTTTTCTGACTTCCTGATTAATTGACCTTTTTATCATTATGAAATACCCACATTTATCCTAGTAATATCTTTCGTCTTAAGGTCTGTGTTGTCTGATAATAATACAGCTATTTCATCTTTTGATTAACATTTGCATCATATATCTTTTTCATCTTGTTACTTTTTAATGGGAGTAGTCACATTTCCTTTTCTATGTTGAATTATAACATGAGGAAATCTTTAATGTTCTCTTTTTTTCAGAACTATCGATTGTATTTTGTTACTCTAGTAAAATACACATATTTTCTATTTTAAGCATTTTTATGTGTATAGTTCAGTGGCATTAAGTACATTCACAAGTGGATATGGTTATGTACCAATAAAATTATATTTATAAAAACAGCCAAGCACTGTGGTCATGCCTGTAATCCCAGCACTTTGGGAGGCTTAGGCAAGTGGATCACTTGAGGTGAGGAGTTTGAGGCCAGCCTGGCCAACATTATGAAACCATGTGTCTACCAAAAATACAAAAATTAGCCA